CGTTTCATTTTAAGAAAAGAAATAAATAAAGCGCAGAAACACCAAAATCGATAGTTTTGCACCCATAAAATGTATCAGGGGATCAAGATGACTTTGGAGGTGGGGCCAGAACAGACCAGCTTGAAAACCCCTTTGCCATCCCTTGTCAGTCCATTGACCACGCGGAGCCCAGTTTTCTTTTCTCTACAGTTTGGGTCCACCAGACAGACGTCAGAATGCACAGTGTGGCTGGGACACAGCCAAGGTTATGCGGGTCCTTCTGCAGTCTTCAGCTCCCCTGGCCCCCCGGCCCTTCTTTCAGGAGAGACCCAGCCTCTCTCCCCACAATCAAGCAACTCAAGGCTTGCTCTGGGGCTGACTGATGGCTGGTCCAAACGTAACAAAGCAAGGCTTACCCATTGCCATTGAGTCAGGTCCCAGGTGTTACGGAGTAGAAGTGTTCCTTAGAGTTTTTTGGGGGGTGGGGGGCTCTGATTTTTATGGCTGGAAATTGCCAGGCCTTTCTTCCATGGCACCACGGGGTGGGTACGAATGCCAGCCTTTAGGTCAGTAGCTGAGAGCAAACCACTCTGATTGCTGGTATGGGTGGCTAAGTGTTTCCGCACCACTTTCCAAACACCCAACCTTGCAGCACTATTGTGAAGCTAATCAGGTGATATGCACAATGGATTTAGCCCAGGGCAAGTAATAGTCTCTCAATTAATAGACATTTGATTCTTATCACAGAAGTGGGGCAGTGGGAGGGGAAGGCCTGCAACCCAGCTATGGGCTGCTGCACGATCCACTTCCCCAAATGCTTGCCCTACTTTTCCAGGCTGTCAGAATGCCCCGATTCAATGGACATAAAGGCAATTGCCATGCTCAGAGTCTGATGGGAAATGACAGGGGTTCACATGCTTTCACTCACGCTATGCTTATTAACTGCACATGTTGAGCCCTTACCTGGCACCGTGCTGAATTTAATCACTGACTCATCACAACAAATTTTGAACTAGGTGCTATGTGATTTCCCAGTTTAGAGCTAAGAAAATGGAAGTGTCAAGGGGCCGAGGGCAGCCCAGGGCAGCAGTGATCCTTTTTATTTTCCTTCTGGGCCTCCTTGGAGTCCTTGGGTATGGAAAACAGGCAGGTAACAGAAAGGTTGGCAGTTTGAACTCACCCAGGGGCAGCACCACCACGGGAGAAAGGCCTGGCAATCTGCTTCTGCAAGAATCCCCAGCGGAGACAACACTGTAACACAGAACTAGAATTGCTTGACAGCCAAGGCGGTGGCTGGCGCCTCTTTGGAAAGCCGTGGCATCTTATCCTCTTGACTCCAGGCCTGGCTGCTTCCTTACGGGGCCTGTCCCTAAAGAAATTCCTGAGCAGGATGCTTCCCTGCCTGTTTACCCTTCCTTGCTGTGGACTTTCTCTGCCCACAGTGACACACCATCTTGAAGTTGTGGATCCTGACTTGGCCTGTGGTTTAAAAAAAAAAAAATCTTATTTTGATACCTCCCCAAACTCACTGCCATCCAGTTAATTCTGACTCATGCAACTGTAGGAGAGGGTAGTAATACCCCTGTGGGTTTCTGAGATTATACCCTGTTTCCCCGAAAATAAGACTGTCTTATATTAATTTTTGCTCCCAAAATTTAATGCGCTAGGTCTTATTTTCCGGGGATATCTTATTTTTCCATGAAGAAGAATACGGTACACATTTATTGTTGAACAACAAAAAAGGAAATTTATTACCTGCATATGGTACGGTAGTAGTTGTCATCACAAACCAGCATAACCAGACAAACTGTGAATCCTACAGTATCAAGCATTTCTTGTTACTACGATTATTTCCATGTACAACAATCTATGGTGCATTTACTTGCTCTTCCTGTCTTCTCTGGCTGCGCTGCGGCCAACAGTGAGCTGCATGCCGCACCCGCTGCTACGGTCCAGAGTCAAGAATTACTGTAGCCTTATTATCGGGGAGGCCTTACGTTCGGGGAGGTCTTATTTTCAGGGGGATGCCTTATATTTCAGCGAGAGGCAAAACTGTAAGTAGGTCTTGTTTTAGGAGGATGTCTTACTTTCGGGGAAGCATGGTAACTATGGAAGGGAGCCCTGGTGGTGTAGTGGTTATGCATCAGGCTGGGGAACACAAAGTCAGCAGTTCAAATCCACCAACTGCTCCATGGGAAAAAGGTGAGACTCTACTTAATCCCGTAAAGAATTATAGTCTCAGTTCCACAGAGGCAGTTCTACTCTGTTCTATAGGGTCACATGAATCTTAATTGACACAATGACAGTAAGTTTTGGAACTCTTTATGGGAGTAGAAAGCCTCCATTTTTTCCTCGGAGTAGCTGGTGCTTTCGAACTACTGACCTCGAGGTCAGCAGCCCAGCATGTAGCCACTAGACCAATCTGTCAAACAGGTTGCAGCCTGATGACACCTCCTTGGGGGCGTGGCTTAATGCAGCCCCAAGCAGGTGTCATCAGGCTGATAGGTTGGACTCTACCCTACCTTCACCTAGGTGTGTCTAGATACCATCACAGATACCTCACAGGTATTTAATATTTAACGGTTCCCAAGGTGCTTGCATTTCTGCTCACCTAAAGTTTGGCCACCGGAACCCACCCAGTGGTGCAGTGGAAGGAAGGCCTGGCGATCTGTTTCCATAAAGATTACAGCCCAGAGAGCCCTATGGAGCTCAGTGCTGCTCTGTAACACACGGTGTTACCATGTGTTGGCAACGGGTTTGGTTTTGGGGGGTTCCTTTCTCCAATTGTATTGGATCCATTGAGCTAATTCAAGTCCTTCAATGAAAAGCAAAAATAACTTCATTTTAAAAGTTGGAAATGGGCAGGAGGATGCCCAGAAAGTCATTGCAGGATGTAAAGGCTGCCGTGAGCAACTCCTCCCTGCATGGACCATCCCTCTCACTCTTCTGATGCCTGCATTTCTTAAAAAATAAAAAAGCAAAAATAATTCAAGTGCAGAATGAATTCCCAGGGGCTTTCGCGTGCTGGATTCTCCTGCTCTGGAACTGGCTCCCCGCTCTCCTCCATGGCAGGACTGCAGTCCCTAGGTGGGATGAATGGTTTACAGGACTGGCAGAGGTGCCTCCGGAGAAAGACCTTGTTATCCATGTCCCACAAACCAGCCTTTGAAGAACCGGTCGTACCCAGTCCTACTGTGACACACGTGGGTCGCCGCGTGCGTATTGGCACTGACTCAGTGGCCACTGAACCGGTTATGGCATTAAGCGTTTGGCTGCTACCCAAATGGTTGGCAGTGTGAGCCTACAGCAGCCCCACGGAGGGGGAAAGCTGAGGCCGTCTGCTTCTGGATGGACTTACAGCTGTCGAAACCCTACGAGGCAGTTCAACTCATGGGGTCACCCTGAGTCCGAATGGACCCGAAGTTACCTTGGCGAGGCTGTTTGGTCCCTGATCTCCACTGATCCTCCTGTCCCCACAGGTAAAACCCCAGAGGAAGTGCTGAAGAAGTATCTGCAGAAAGTGCGTCACCCCCCAGATGAGGTGAGTGCAGGGGGTGTGGGTGCATCCACCCCCTTCAGTCATGGGCGTTTGCACTATGGGGGAGGGGGGCCACCAAAACCCCCCTCCCGGGGTCCTAAGCCCCAGACAGTGGCCTCTATGGCAGGCCCTGACTCACTCACTGTTGAGCTTAGGGCAGACCCAGTGGACGCTCTCTCAGCGTGTTCCTCAGACTGGGTTTGGTATAGCTGCTCCGTGCCTCTCAACTGGGGCACTTCAGCCCCCCAGGGAGACATTTTTGTTTGTCACCACTTGGGGTCTGGGGAAATGTTAAACCAGAGTGAGCAGAATCCAGGGATGCTGCTAACCCTCCTACAA